AAAGTCTCTATAGCATTGGGATGTGTGAGCATGTTAAGAGGGTGTGGTGTGCACAATGTATGTGTGTGTGTGTGTGTGTATATATATATAACTAAATTCCTTTCTCATTGTGACATTTGCTTGTTAAAAATATTGGAGATGAAGTGCTCTTAAATTTCTATACCTTGTTTCAATAAGGCTGTAACATAACTGTTCCCCATGAATATACGAGATCAAGTCCTTGCTTCACTTAATAGGGAGAAATTTTAATAAAGCATAGATTATCGTCAGAAGACTGGTAATATATAATTTGAAAATGAGGTGAATATTTATACATCAGAACAGCACTCAAAGGCACATAGTGATAAATATCCAAACACAGCTGTGTAAGCTGTGATTTCAAAATATCCAAGCATGTTTTCTAAACAGCTAAGTGCACATTAGGGGCTCACTTCTGCATGCAAATATACACTTGAATAACTTCGCTTCTATGAGATTTCCTATTTACTTCAATAAGACTGCTCACAGGTTACTGTTAGGCTATGTCTAGACTACACTTTATTTTCAAAAGAGGATATGCAAATTTATCCTCTGGAATTTGCATATCTGCTTCCGATCTCACTTTTGAAAGCGGGTTTTTCGAAAGTGGAAGTAGTCTGGATGCAGGGGTTTTTTTTACCCCCTCCCTTTTGAAAACCAGCTCGTTATTAAAAAATGAGGTTTATGCGTTTTTTTCAAAAAAAAAAAAAAAAAAAAAAGGGCGGGGCGGAGGGAGCTCAGAATAAAACCACGTCCAGACTACTTTCGCTTTCGAAAGACCCGCTTTTGAAAGTGAGCTCAGAGGAAGATATGCACAGTCCCGCAGAATTTGCATATCCTCTTTCAAAAATAAAGCGTAGTTTAGACGTACCCTTACTGTTGTGTGTACTCATGTTCATGATCAGACAGTGGTCATTCAAATGTATGCTTTACGTGGCTAGTAACGAGGCTGTATGTATACAAACATATTTTAAGAATACTTTAAAATAGAAGACTAAGCAAAGAAATGTAACATCATGTGAGAATAAGTACCATCGCAGAAGTTAAGTACCAGTCAAATATGCGTATGGACGTCACAGGGTTCACTCACTTCTAGGGGTGCCTTTTTCTGGCCACTTTAGGGATTAGCTCTTTCCAGGCACTACAGCCGTTTCTGGTGCTCTCTCCACCTATTGTTCTCTCACCCAGTGGACCCCCTCGATCCAGGAGCTGCAGCTTTCTCTTTGAGACTAGGCCCTCCATCCATGTCACTGTGGTCCTCATCTTCCAGGGATCCAGAATCTTTCAGCATGAGCTATCCCAGGCAGTCCAATCCCCACTTCCCCCATGACAGGTGGGATTGCTCAGGCCCACCCTCTACCTCAGGTTCTAGTTCATAGGCCTCTCTCTCCAGGGTCTGTCTTGCTGCTTTTCCTCTGAGCCTTCTTTGTCTTTCTGGTTCTCCCCATGCTCTGTGGTTACTTTCTACACACCTCCTTTCTCCCAGGGAGTGACTGCAGAGTACTTCCCTGCGGCCCCTACTCCTGGGCTTTTTATGGGCCTCTCCTGTTCCAATCCAACAGAGCCTCCTTTAATTAATCCCTGCTCCCTGGCTTTTCCTCCAGGGGTAGCCTGCTCTGTTAATTGTCCTACCTAGTCACCTTAACCCCATCAGGGCTTGTGGGGTAAGAAGGGGGGGGGGGACAATATCCCACCACAGTGGAATTAATTAGTCAGCTTGACAACTTGTTTTCTCTGCTTCCCTTTTTGGTTGGCGCCAGATCTCTTTCCCCTCTCACCCTGTTGATACTTTGTACTGCATGATAATAACCCTTAATTGCAAAGCATGGTCCATGAGTGACCAAACATTGCCTGCTTGTCTTTCAGTTCAGTTCCTAAAGCTACATGAAATAAATAATAATAAAATAATAGCATTTAATATTGAAGACTTTTGTGTTTCATCTAAACAGATCCTAGCTGCCAGAAGAGCCATGTGCCAAGAACAAGTTGCTGCAGCAGAAGAAATCTTGCAAGTTTTGACACGTAATATTTCAAGTCAGGTGTCCCTCCTGGATTGTCAGACAGCTGGGCTACAGACACGAATTAAAGACGCCAAAGATAGACTTCAGGTCTCTGTTCCCTATCACTAGCATGTTCAGTACACAGATATCCTTATCTGTAGTACTCAGTGATTAGAAAAACTACTTTTAGGGTCCACGTAAACTATAATTCTTGCTAAAAATATTTGAGCTTCTCTTCTCTTGTTAGGTGCAGAGGGAGAAGAGATTTCAAAATTAGTATCCAAAGCTGAGTAATGAATGATATGTTGAGTCATGTTATGAAGGAATATTTTAAGTGTTTTAACGATACCCACACCCTAAAAATTGTATTTTTGTTTCTAGGCTGCCATGATTAACCTAGACCTTGTCTCACCCAAATCGGCTAATTTTGAAGAATCTCAGAAGGAGCTTGAAACATCTATTTTAAAAGCTGTACAACTCGTTAGCCATAAAGTGAGCAGGGATCAGCACATTTTGAAAAATGAGGTAGGTTCCAATATTTATTTTCTACCTGAGTCATATGAAGCCTTTGCCTATCAGCAAATATTATTTCATAGCAAGATTTTATGACTAGAAGATTATCTTACAGCATTGGTCCCCAAACTTTTCATGGTCATGTCCCCCTTATCCCATCTGTGGCTTCCCTTAGGCCCAGAGTGTGGCTGTATTTTTCAGGATGGGGGTAGGGAAATGCAGACAAGAGTAAAGGGGCCAACGCTGGGGTTGCAGCTGGGGACCATCCTGGGGCCGGGTGCAGGAATGGATCTGCAGACAGAGGTTGAGGCAGAGGCTGAGTGTGAAGTTGTGGTTGGGAGCAGAGGCTGGGGGCGGGGCTGGGCATGGGACTGGGAGCTGGGCTGCCCCCCCATGTTCCTTTACACCCCCACCCCACACTTTGGGGACCTCTGTCTTACACTGATGTGGAAAAGAGCACGTTTCTTGGCAGTCTTCACAACTTTTTTTAAACTTTTTATTTTATCATTATTAACATATCTGAGCTTTCTGTAGAAATATTAAGAACTCTTTCTCAAAACCTGGACTTTATCATTACCTGTATTTTTTTTTTTTTTTAAGAACCCCCAAGATGGTAACCTCACATAATAAAATCTTAATTCTGAAATAGGGTTGTTGGGAGTTTTTCCATTGAAAGGATTTCTCAAAATTTGTTTCTCCATGTCACTAATCCTAGGGCTGTGTCCAGACTCCATGCCTCCGTCGACGGAGGCATGTAGATTAGCCAGCTCGGAAGAGGGAAATGAAGCCGCGATTAAA